GATGAATATCTCGACATTAAAATCAGTCAGCTACAACGTAGGACCAGCCATATATATACATCAGTCTAGGTTGCCATACCCCATTAACACAACAAGATGAACACCGAATTCATAGAAGTAGTTAATTCAATGGTAGTAATATATAAAAGAAAGATTGCATATAAGGGCATAGTACAGGAAGAAAGAATTAGTTCGTAGAAAGAAAGATATGAAGCGATTTTAATCTCTTAGTTTAAGGGAAGACAGAGAGTGTATACACCTACGCCATCGTGATCGATTCTGAGCCATGTCACCAAGAGTCTCCAACCATTGGTTACGATAGCCACGCGGACCTCAACCAAGTAGTCTCCATCTATCAATATGGCTCAGACCAGAAGTTAGTGGCTTCAAACACTGATGCCACATTTTGGTTTGACCATCCGTAACTTTTATTCCAACCATCCCGAACACTGGTTAGCATTGCACGTCGTGGTAATCGGTGTTCAGCACTCAAGACCACTGACATTAAACTAAGTAGTAAACATATATGGTTAATAGATTAGAAAACATGATAAACTTACAGATATGAAACTATATGAGTAATAAGATGAAATAAATAAATGACACTATTTAAGTGAACTACACATTATCCAACTACTTCCTATTTCGTTTCATAATGTTTTATTCTAAGATTAAATTAGAAATAGACATGATATTACTGAACTAAACTATATCAGTAGATGATGATTACATTCGAATTCAATTACACAAACTAGTTTTTGATAGAGTTTTGTTCTCTGAGCTGGATGGTTTGGTCAGCTCAAAGAATAAAACTCCATCAAAATCATCCACTTGAACTACAAATCTTCTCCACTACACAAACTAATGATAATAATAATAATAATAATCAATCATGTGAAATGTTGTCATAGTTACTATTTATTCATTATCTTAAGTTTAGTATCATTCAAAATGATTATTTTCCTATTTCAATTCCCTAGTTATAATCATTCTATATTGAAATTATTTTTAATCTTCTTTCATAATTGAATAGTTCTTCATTGTTTTGTTTACTTCTCTTTTAAAGACATTTATATTCATGTAAGTTTCATGGAACTAGCTAGATACTTGGAAGTAAGAGTGTTTAATAATGCGGAAGAAGTAGAAATAGAAGAGGAAGGAGTGTAGAAGTGTTGCTATACACCTAATTAACATAACAACAACTAACTTGTAGTTCATTTGTGTACTACTTTTGTTTGTAATGGTTTGTTATTGATGTTTTATCTCATGGAAACAAACAAAAGATGAGTTGTTTTTTTTCAGAATTGATATGAATTATTTATTATATGCGCATAGTAACAATAATCTTTAGACCATTTTAAGTTTAGAATAGATGTTATATACCACTCAATTGTTCCATTTACATACCATACTAATGAAGTTTAGAAGAAAAAACAACCTATTAAGATATATTTAAAGAATAATAGAAGATATTAGATGTAGATTGAAATAGAGAATGTTTAGTGAAGCCTGTACGATGTTGTCGATGAGCTCATCACTTTAATGGTCCTGAGATCTAACTCTAATTAGATCGTATGAATGTCATTGAGATATATATTGATAAGTCTTGTTAATTTGAACGCTTTATTCGGTTCCTAAACTATTCTGGTAACCCGCAAGCTAGAACTACGCAGCGACCTGAACTCGAGAGGAAAGGCACAAAATAAACGAAAAGCACTTTAGTCCAAAGGTTCATTTTTGGACAGAAAAACACGTGTATTTATAGATGTTAACACTTGTTAAATCAACATCATATTTTGGCCAATCCGCTAAAAGACATATTATGCTACTGACAAATAGTATCACGCCACGTTGACATTCTAGAATGCTCCATCATGCCCTGATTGGGTAGGACTCTTTGGCTCCTTTAGGGCCTCTGAAGGCTCCGTTGCAGTTCTCGGATAGCCGACTCAACATATATGTCGCCTATCTTCGTATTATCTTTATCGACTTCATCAGTGTTGGTGAATAACAGAATTAAAATAAGTCAAATACGAGAATGGAAGTTTTGAATACAGATATTTTGTACAATCATTGATTTGGACAGGAAACCAGAGGGATGAAGCGAATAGAAGAAAGAGAGAAGCAAAATGACGTGCAGTGAAGAAGGCGTGCGTGCCAACCTGATTTAATCAAATGTTAATCAATATTTATAGTCACACAAAATAAGCTACAGACATATGATGAATAGGATAAGAAGTGTACACTCACATACGCCCATATAAAAACAATCAACGTTGATAAGTGAATAATTAAAAGGTAAAAAGGGGACTCAAGGAGAATGGATAAATTAGCCCATCCGGAAGCAAAAATAAGTTATATGGGCTTAACATAGTAACCGACACTACAAGCAAATTCTGGTAAATTGATGAATGTTTCCAATCATATTTACAATTGATTGATTACTGCGTGGTGATCAATGTCATATATATCAGGTCCTTCATTGTGCAGATCGAATCCTATCGACCAAGATGAAATGTGGCCACTAATCTAGGTGCGTGCACTATGTCCGCATGACTATCGTAACCAATGGTTTGAAACTCTAGGTAACACGGCTCAAAATCGATCACAGTCGCGTAGGTGTATGCACTCGCTGTCTTTCCTCAAACCATGAGGTTGAAATCGCTCCATATCTTTCTTTCTACGAACTAAATCTTTCTTCCTGTGCTATATCTTTATACATAATCTTTCTTTTATATATTAATACCATTGAATCAACTACTTTTATGAATTCGGTGTTCATCTTGTTGTGTTAATGAGGTATGGCAACTTCGACCAATGCACATGTGTGCCTGGTCCTACGTTGTAGCTGACTGACTGCGTGTGCTATGTTGAGATAATATGGTTGTTGGAGGTAGTCAACAGGAAACCGTGGACCTAGGTTTCGTGTTATTTGGCACTCGCCAGTAATCATGTATTATTGTTCTTTATATACTACTAAACTTCAATTAGACAATTTTCATGGATTCAATGGTTATTTTCTTTGAATAAACTAAATAGACTGAAAGAATTGATCAGAATTTATTGAATATTTATAATAGCCAAAAGAATTATTGAAAACTAGTGTACATTACATTATTTTTATCTGACGTTTTTGTATTGAAGACTTAGGCTACTCATTAGTAGTTAGTAACCAAATAACTTTATTTTTATCGGTGATTGTCATGCTGGGTTCATACGCGATTTGTTGCTTCAGGATACTGGAGCGTATGTGTACCATCAGTTAGGAATCAAGACTTTCCAACTTCCGTAGGTGGATCCGTTATATCCATCAACTCATCTAAAGCTCTGAACATTCGCTTTATGCCCTCCTAATCTTATAAACAGCAGCCTCACCACGAGAAGACAGTAAGACTTCCGTGACAGTAGCCGTATACATGTGGCCATTTTTCAACGATATAATATCAACTATACAGTAAACCAATACAACCTCAGGGTTGAATCAAGGCGGCTAGTGCTAATTAATGAATCATTGACTTAGCACAAAGACAAAGTCATATAAGTTGGTGTTTTAATTAGACGAAGTGGACTTCGCAAATGACCTAGCTCTCCTATCCCATACACACGAGCAAATGCAGATGAAGACAACTAGTACAGCAGCACCATCTGCATTAGTAGGCCTCAACATACACAAACGAGAAAGTAAGATCCTTAAATACAACACAGAGAATATCCACCCAATCATACTTGATGGAGAAACTTTGGAAGACATGGAATCCTTCGCGTACCTGAGAAGTGTCATCGATGAACAAGGAGGTTCAGATGCAAGGGCCGTATTCCTACAATTGAAGAACATATGGCACTATCAACAACAACTTTCAACCAATATCACAGTCACAATCTTTAATACGGACGTCAAGACAGTTCTACTGTATGGATCTGAAACTTGGAGAACTACTACAACTATCATCAAGAAGATACAAGTATTTATAAATAGTTATCTACGCAAGATACTCAACACCCATTGGCCGGATACAATCGGCAACAGCCTACTCTGAACTTAAACAAACCAGCTTCCAGCTGAAGAGGAAGTTAGGAAAAGACGATGGAAGTGGATAGGACATACATTACGCGAATCATCAAACTACATCACGAGGTAAGCCCCAACTTGGAATCCTGAATGGAAACAAGAAAGAGGAAGGTTAAAGAACACGTTACGTCGAGAAATAGAAGCAGATATGAAAAGAATGAATAAGAACTGGAAAAAGCTGGAAAGGACCGCCCAGGATAGGGTTGAGTGGAGAGTACTAGTGGACGGCCTACACTCCTCCACGAGGAGCAACAGGCGTAAGTAAGTCCAATTGACGATTTTCTTACATGATATTTAGTGAACCATACAAAAAACATACCCTAATTCTCATCTTATTAATTTTCACTTTTTTTGAAAATTGATCATCTACAAAATAAATTTTTAAAAAAATACGTTCAATGGTTGAGATCATGGACCACCACGGAAAATCAAGGAGCACTGGACGGCCGTTTCGTCCTATTGTGGGACCCCGCCTCGCGAGATTCAAACCCAGGACCTATCAGTCTCGTATTCGTACTCTTAATCACTAGACCACTGAGCCGGCATTCAACGGTATTAATATCTGACCTCAAGTAATCCATGAGATGTAATGACACATCCACCATCGTCTTCAGTGAGTTACTATCTCACGACGGACCCAATTAAACTCCACTAATCACTGTTTCTCATTAGAGCTCCAGGATATACATCTTGAGACTGATAGGTCCTGAATTCGGATCTCACGAGATGGGTTCGTGGATGCATACTGCTGAGGAGCGCCATAATAGGACGAAAAGACCATCCAATACTTCTAGGTCTTCTATGATAGTCCAGCTTCAATTGACTCATGATTTCAACTATTGAAATTACTACAATCTCCAAGAAACCCCTTCTGATACTAAAAAAAATATTTCTTTATTTTTTTCTTTCTTCTTTTATTTTTATAATTTAGGTTCTTCACCTTCATTAACCTGTGCATTAAGTACAAATGGACATCCAATGAATGATAAAGATTTATTATCATTTTTATTCAGTACAGTTTTAACTTATATGGTACCATGTATTTTATTAGTCTTTATTAATTTAATACTACTTATTAAATTAATTAGTATTAAATCAAAACGACGTATATTATGTAAAACAATGAATAAAAATATACAATTCGTTAATTGGTATAATACTACTACTAATACTAATACTACTACTACTAATAATAATAATAATGATCGAGTCAATTTATCATCAAATGAATTGATTTCAATGAATCCAATCACATCACCAACACCACCACCAGCACCAGCAACAACAACAACAAGGACATTATCATCAGTTGTCATAGCAACAAATGAACAAGAAAATTCATTGACATCTACAATAACAAGTATATTACAACGTCGTCGTCATACAATCACAGAAGATCGTAAAGAAATTGGTCGTATTGTTGCATTATTATTATTATCATTTTTTTATTTATGTTTTACATTTCCAGTTAGTATTAGTTTAACAATAAGAGCTAATTTAAATTATAAACATTCAAATTGTTTACATTTATTATATGCACATTTATCACGTTTATTAACATCTATTAAAGATATTAATTATGCATTAAATGGTTATACATATGCTGTATTCTTTCAATTTTATCGTACTAAATTATTGAAGATTTTAACATGTAAATGTACTACTACTACTACTACTACTTCTAATCATACTACTCATACTCATACTACTACTACTACTACTAATACTACTACTAGGAACATTCATAAACATCCTTATCGTTATCGTCAAAGCAAAACAGAGAATTCAAAATACACTGATGAATAATATACAACATAGATGATATGGACCATGAAGAGAGCGGGGTGTGTGGGTGTGTGTGTGTGAGAGAGAGAGAGAGGGAGGGGGGAGAGAACGTCAAAAAAAAGAGAAAAAAAGAGATACATTTTTCACATTCCTTTATGTTACATTTTAAAAAGAATTTCATTCGTTTCCTTACAAAATTCCACATCATTATTTTGATTATTCTATAATGAAGTAAACAACAACAATCATAATAACAAAAGAGACAATACACACTTCTGTTTTTCTTTTTCTTCTTCTTCTTTGTCTTCAGTTTCTAGGCATAATGACATCATGAATCACATGAATTACATATTTATTATAAAGAGAAGAAAAGAAGAAAGAAGAAGAAATTACTTATTTAATGCATTTCATATGTATCTCATATTTTTTTCTTGATGTTATGATTATTATTTTGTTTGTTTATCTTGTCTTTCTTTTCTACATTACTGCACAGCACTTCGTTCCATCCTACTTTATGGCAGTGAAACATGGCCAGTAAGAGTAGAAGATATTTGTAGGTTACTAGTATTTGATCATAGGTGTCTTCGAAACATTGCTCGTATATCATGGGACCATCGAGTAAGTAACACAGTTGTTAGGACACGGGTACTAGGTAAGGATGGCAAATCAATTGATGAAGTAGTGAAACTTCATCAGTTGAGATGGCTGGGACACTTGTTACGTATGCCCAACTACCGACTGCTCGACGTGCGATGTTCAGTGGTATAGGTGTAGGTTGGAAGAAAGCTAAGGGCGGCCAGACCAACACATGGCACAAGCCCATGAAGTCACTGATAAGTGGACTGAGACATGTCGGTAGGTGTAGAATACCTGGTTGGGCACCGCGAGATAATAGCAACCGATGGTTAGAGACACTGAATGACATGGCTCAAAATCGTTTGCAATGGCGCAGATGCATCCACTCTTTGTGTTCTCCCAAGTTCTAATCTTCTGAATTCTTTATTTCCCTTTTTGTTTTTCCAAATTTATTTCACTGGATTATACTCCTTGAATAACATCTTCAAACCCTAATATTTGCGATTATTGCTTATGCTCTTACTACCTCTATAGCCACAGGATTTGAATTGACAACTGCATCTCTGTGCTAATGTGGTATAGTAAATCGAACTGATGTACGTACGTACGAAGTTCTACGTTTTTATTAGCTGACTGACAAATTAATGACTGATTATTGAATATGAGCTAATGTCATGTTTGTCTATTCATTAGTTCTGATAAAATTTTATCACTTAAACTGCAATTGGACGATTGAATTAATTCAATCAATATCACATAAACTATACATTGATGTTAGATGAATGAAGATAATTGATAGGGAACCCTGAACTTATGTAGCAAGTTAGTAGGGTTATCTTTAATCATGAGGGTATTGATGATTTCTGAGGGATTTTAACTCATATCACCTAGCCTCATAGTTTGAAACTTTGTCACTGACTTATTCGAGTCATAAATGATCTCCTGTAGGATTTAGATGTGTAAACTGGTTGACGATTCAGTAATAATCCTTATGATTGCAGAGATACCAACTAGTATGAAATCTTGATTAAGGACATCTTACTGACTACTTCTATACACCTAACAACAAGACATAGTTTAAGGTTTTATTTATAATTGAAATTAATAAGCATATTTATAACAATTCATTTACATTTACAGTTTAGTCATTATCACAGCTGAAACAAACTATGGGCTCGTTGTCGGAGTCACTGTTTGAACGAACAGTGAATGAGGCATGAACATAAATTCTCCACTTTATTTCGCTTATTCTACTTAGGCTAACTCCGTTTGGACGACGGTGGCAACAAAAAGTCAAGTACAAATTGAGTTGGACGAATTTATTTCAACCATTCGTTTACTTAGACAGATGTTAAGATGAGAGATGGGGAAGGTCACCCTAACTCAGTTAAATAAAAACGTGATTCAATATTTACAGACATGAAAGATACAAGCAAGCATAAAGATATATCGCACAATTATGCTCCCATGATCAATGTCACACATATGAATGACAAAATGACTGAGAAAATTAGGACAATTAGTCTACCCAAAAGTAAGGATAGGTCTTATAGGCGTGTAAAAATATTAGTTGCTACAAAGCATCACTTATATTGATAAACATTTGTCATGCAGTTGTCACGAATCGGCTGAAACTGCCTTTGGATGCTAACTCAGTAGCCTAAAAGTAATGCACTTTTCGCCAAAGCTACATGCATTGGGTTTCAGTCTTAAAGAAGTCTTGGGTATGTACAGCAGAAAAATATTATACTAGGACAAGACAGCTGCCCAGTTTTCTTTTATTTTTTAATGATCATTCAGATGGGATCAATCAGTAATGTAATCTTCAAACTGAAGAATCTCTACAAATCTCTCATAATAATACGTGAATATTACATTAGGCGCTAGTATTCCATAACATATAGAATTTATTAATTGAGTAGGTATCATTTTAATGTGCGTTCTATGATAGAAAAGGAATGTTGAACACTGTAGGAACTCAGTGATACGTGGTAACATATGCCAGCGAAATGCTCAATAACTGTTCATACAAGATAAACTAAAAGGTAATACTAAACTATAAGGATTTCGATTATGATGAAGGTATATAGTAAAACAGTATGACTACTACCGATAATGAAACAGACCATCACATAGGATTGTTCCCGATTGATTAAGCTGTGAATAAACTGAAACAGAACATGTATTCCTATTTTAATGATGGCATTATCAGCAGATATTTAGGCCTAGGTTTAGGAAAAAGATGTAGGGCCATGACATAAAACTAGTATTACAGTTTAGATTTGGAAATTATGGGTCCAGGATTTAAAGGATGGTATTAAAATACACGCTTATTCTAACCATAAGCGTAAATCCTAAACCCTACTATATTAATAAAAATTGAACGGCGAATTTATCATTATTAAGAAGTAAACAAAAAATACCAACTGATAGTAAAATTAACAAACTTACACTTTACTTATTTAATGGATGAGTTCAGTTGTGGTTCTCTAACAGAGACCGCTTCAGTAAAGACGCGACGTAGAACCTGGCATATGAGTGCATCAGTTTAAGTACACACACTCCCTTAGTACAGATTAAACAAATCCCAAAGAAGTAGAGGTTGCAACAGTATTAAATAAGACCATGCATCGAAGGTACGATTCGAGAAAAAATGTGAACTGGAGGAATAAAAACATTCATTGGGGAGGGGGAGTTAGGAGCTTGAAAACTAAGTGGAGACAAAGAGTAGATGCACCTGCATCATTGCGACCTATTTTAAGCTATGTCCTTCAAAGTCTCTAACGACTGGTTACAATGATCACATGGACTCCAACCAGATAGTTTGCATCTACCTACAGGGCTTGGTCTAACATTCGGTGTCACTATGAACTGTTGAAATGTCATGGTTTGGTCGCCTCTGGCTTCCTCCAAACCTACTCCTACAACAGACAACATCGCCCGTCGAGGTAAGCAATGGTTGAGCATTCGTAACACACATGCCCCTGAATGCCCTGGTACGGCCGAGAGTGGGGAGAGTCCGCTCTCCCTCTCGAAATACTCTCACACGGCCACGCGTATACAGCCTCTGCCAGGGAAGTCCTACCCATTGCCTTCTCGTGGCGGGGGTGTTGTTTACGAAAATGAGAGGACGAAAAGCGAATGTCCGGCGCTTTAACCGGATTCCAAATCAATGGTGCACATGGGCTCCAGTATCCTGCGGGAACAAATGGCGTATGAACCAATCGTTGGTCACCGGCTACCATGGGATTGCATCTCCTTACGATGCTCCACTGCCTTGTGGGTTAGACCTTTAGGTCAAAGGCTCGGGGAGTGGCCCCCTAAGATAACCATCTGCTTCGGTTTGGGCACCCGGGCAGTATCACAGCCCACACACAAATTGATGAACTCTTTATGCCTATGGAAATTACCTTTCTCGCTTTGAAAAACAAACAATTGATTCAGATTATTATCATTACAATTATTGTCATTATTAATACTATTATTATTATTACTACTATTATTGTCATTATTGTTGTTATTATTATTATTATTTTCCACATTATTCACCCTCTTTTATACTTATACAGCAGCTCGTCTTTGGTGGAAATCCGACTGTATCTAAACGTTCTCGAGTCACTGTCCGGTTGTAAATTGTATGTTACCACCGAATACGAGGACTGAAGCAGATTTTCTGAAACCACGTGCACCATTCAAACTGGCTGCCTTCAACGTTCGCACATTTATGCAGGTCGGACAACAGATAGGGCTGGCTATGTCTTTGGAAAGTCTTAATATCGACGTGTGTTGTCTATCCGAGACCCGTATTCAAGACTCTGGCGAAGTGCTACAAATTCGATCTCCATCTGTCGCTTCGAAAAGCTTGTTTTACGTGCGCTTATCCGGGGACCCTGTGGCATCTTCGTCTGGTCTTGCTGGCGTTGGTGTCGCACTAAGCGCTAGAGCCGAGGCAGCACTAGTCGATTGGATCCCCATTAACAGTCGGTTATGTGCTGTTAGATTAGAAAGTCCCATCAAAGTGAGAAGAAATCGGCGTGAGAAACGATGTCTTTTCGTCATCTCCGCCTATACCCCGACAGATTGCAGCCCGGATGCAATCAAGGATGAGTTTTACCACCAGTTATCAGTTCTTCTCCAGAAAGTGCGTCCGACAGATATTGTAGTACTAGCCGGAGACTTGAATGCTCAGTTCGGGCGTCTAGGCACAGAAGAGAGTCGTTTAGGTGGCCGATGGGGACTCGTTGGTCGCAGGTCAGATAACGGGGACCGTCTACTGCGACTTTGCACAGACCACAACCTGTTTCTGGCTAGCACTAACTTTCGGCACAGTCATCGCCGATGTGCCACCTGGTGTCCTCCCTCTGCATCTCAAGCCTGGACTCAGATTTATCACATCGCGATCAGCTACCGCTGGCGTGGTTGTGTACAAGACTGCCGCTCCTTTTGGAGTACCTATCTGGACTCTGACCATGCCTTGGTCTGCGCCAATCTTGCCTTGCTTTTCAGTGGCCAACGAAGTGACCACCACCAAAAGATTGATGTTAGCAAGCTGGTTGCAACTTCTGTTGCAAGTAAGTATCGAACCGAGCTAGCCTCTAGGCTAGCTACCATTCCACCGAAAAGTATAGATGAGCATTGGTTGCAATTGCATGACGCCATGAAAATGGCGGGAACAGTCAGTTGTGGGTTTGCGAAACGTCCCGCTTTTAAGCACTGGGTTTCTCCAGGTTCCTTACAACTCATTGAAGCCCGTCGGTCTACTCCGGGTGACTGTGAGTTTGACCATAAACGAAGGATGTTACGTAAGGAAATTGGGCAAAGCTTGCGTAAGGACCGAGAAGCCTGGTGGTCGATGCGTGCTAATGAGCTGGAAGCAGCAGCTGCATCTGGTAATTACCGGAAGCTCTTCCAGCTCATCCGAGCCACTGGCAGCAAGAAGTCTGGTGTGAGTGAAACAATCTGCGAGGATGATGGGATGCCAATCACTAACATCCATCGACGTCTTGGACGATGGGCAGAATTTTTCGAAGGGCAGTTCAACTGACCTGCTGCTCCGGCAACATCGGTCAGACTGTCCTGCCCTCCATGGCCGGTGACGACTGATCCACCAAATGAGGAGGAAGTCCGCAAGGAACTCCAACTCTTGAAGCGTTACAAATCACCTGGCCCAGATGACTTACCTCCGGCTCTTTTTAAAGATGGTGGTGACTTTTTGACTAAGGAATTGACGACGTTGTTTACAAAGGTTTGGGAACTAGAGAGTGTACCAACGTTATGGAATGAGTCGATAGCTGTCCCTATCTTTAAAAAGGGTTCACGTCGTTCCTGTAACAACTATCGGGGGATAAGTTTACTTCCGATTGCGTCCAAGCTATTGGCTTCCGTCATTCTTCGTAGGTTGTTCAAAACCCGAGAAAGATTGACTCGCGAGGAGCAGGCTGGGTTTCGTTCTGGTCGAGGATGCATTGATCATATCTTCACCCTCCGCCAAATGTTAAAACACCGTCATACTTTTCAATGGCCAACAATCGTAGTGTTTCTTGACATCAGGGCTGCCTTCGATTCGTTGGATAGGACTGTTCTCTGGGATTGTCTATTGAAGAAGGGTGTGCCTGAAAAGTTTATTAACATCCTAAAAGCCCTATATACAAACACCTCAGGCAGAGTGAGGGCATACAACCACCTCTCTCCATTGTTCCATTCGAGCAGTGGGGTTAGGCAGGGTTGCCCAATCTCACCATTCCTCTTCAACTTTGCCATCGATGACATTCTGGAAACAGCTCTGATGAATGTAAGTAATGGTGGTGTGGATCTGTTGCCTGGAGAAAGACTTCTCGACCTTGAGTATGCGGACGATATTGTCTTACTGTGCGATAATGCCCGAGGCATGCAATCCGCACTTAATCAGTTGGCAATCAGTGTCCGTAGGTATGGTATGTGCTTTGCACCTTTGAAGCGCAAAGTACTTCTACAAGACTGGCAGGATTCCAGTCCTGTACTCACCCTGGATGGTGAGCAGATAGACGTAGTTGAGAAGTTCGTGTATCTGGGTAGCTGCATAAGTGCTCGTGGGGGTGTGAGCGACGAGATCAATGCACGAATAGTGAAAGCCAGAGCGGCTTATGCCAATCTGGGCCACCTTTGGCGCCTTCGTGATGTTAGTCTGGCTGTAAAAGGTTGGATCTACAACGCGTCGGTGAGAGCAGTTTTGCTCTATGCTTGTGAAACCTGGCCTCTCCGAGTTGAGGACGTTAGACGACTCTCTGTGTTCGATCATCGCTGTCTCCGAAGGATTGCTGACATTCAGTGGCAACACCATGTCAGTAATGCAGAGGTTCGGCATCGTGTGTTCGGGCACAGAGATGATAATGCAATTGGTGTCACCATCTTGAAACACCGACTTCGGTGGCTTGGACATGTTCTCCGAATGTCGTCCCAGAGAATTCCACGTCGTGCATTATTTGCCGACTCTGGGACTGGTTGGAAGAAGCGGAGAGGTGGTCAGTGCATGACATGGTGTCGTGGTCTGAAAGAAAGCTGCAAAGGACTGGCTTCTGTTGGTCCTTCACGACTCCCTGATTGGGGTCTGAGAGATGGTGCTACACAGTGGCTAGAGACGTTATCAGATATGGCTCAGAATAGAAGCCAGTGGCGATCCTGCTGTAACCTTCTTTTACTTTCTTCATAAAAAGTGGTTGTGTCTCCTTTACCTGAAAGATTTCTTCTGATTGTACCTTTTCGTTCCATCGTTACTACCACACTACCTTACTCCAATCTCTTCGTCATTGTTCTCTTTTTCTTTTGCGCTCCTTAGTTTTTTTTTCTACTTCTCTTCGAATTCTCATTGTTTTGTGTGGCGCATATATATTGGCGCTCTCTTGTACCAACATTCATGTGTTCAAATAAATAAAATAATAATAAATCCTAACCACCCCATTAGATGGGGGTTTACTATCTCATCACTCGATTTGCCATCCTTATCTAGTACCTCATTACTATCCCAGGCATCGCTTGTTAGAAGGTCCCAAAATACACGAGCAGTGCTTCCAAGACACCTATGGTCGAATACTAGTAGCCCATGAATATCTTCTATTCTTAATGGCCACGTTTCACAATCATAAATTATGACGGAGCGAACCGATGAGCAATAAACTCTCTTTTTAGTTGACAAACGTACATCTGACCTAGGCTATAAGTGATGCAAGTTGGTAGACGTCAATTGAGCCTCCTGAATCCGTGCTGAGATTATGTCAGACACCAACCCTTCGGGATAGTCAGACTTCTAAGATGAGTGAATTGATTGACACACTCAACTATTCCACTCCCTACCGTTAATTCAAGCGTTGATGCAGACCAGTCCTGAAACAAAATTTTGCACTTAGAGAGAAAGAAACACATTCCAAGCACACTGGCATTATTGCTTAAAGTGGTCAGAAGACCTTATTTTGTCGTCTTTGCCAAACAGGACTACATCATCTGAATATTCTAGGTCAACAAGGGGTTTTCCTGGTAGGAGATCAAACACTGAGAATACAAACGATGGTGTCATCTCTAAACTATATCTATAACAAAGTTAAATAGAAATGGAGGAAGCGGACAACCTTGACGTAACGAATTCAGATCACGGTTCCCCATAAGCTCTGGCTCGTCAATTAGTGTACGAGTAGAGAGCCTCTACAAGGTGAATGTAATTTTTTGATTTGGTTTATAATGCCAGACAGTCGCAGAACCCCACAACCAACGGAGTCAAATGCCATTTTAAGGTCAGGGAATACAACTATAGCCGGATGTCAAAAAGTATATATTCCAGAGTCTGCCGAGGGGTGAATATTTGATCTATAAATCCAGGTTAATTTCTGAAATAACCTTTGTTTTCTCGGATTTGCTGGTTAGATGTCGAAGCGTTAATGAACCTAATATTTTAGATACCATAATAGTTACTGATTTCTCTGTGATTGTCATAAGGGCAATGTTGTCCCTTTTTATAGACTAGGATGACCAAAGGTTGAGACCAGTCAGGTGCGATTCAGTCTAACTCCCAGATTTTTGCTAAGATCTCAGTCAATCTAAGTGATAAGGCGAGACCACCATTCGTAAAAATCTCAAAAGTTATTCCTTCGTGCTCTGTTGTTCTTCGTCACTTTATGTTAGTAATAGAACCGAAAATATGAGCACTATCGATCCAGTTCCTGTTTATATGATTATCAAGAAAAGTTTTTTATGTGGTAGACTACAACGGTATTAAAAGTCTTGATAGGTTAGATATAACTGATACTATTAGTTGCTGTACTGTGAGAAATGTAAACGCTTAATCGAACTATGTTTCGAATTGTTCAAAAGTGCAATAAGTCATAGATGAAATTCCCAATTTCCTCTACTTTACTGAAGTAAAATTTGGTGAGATATATACAACTCACACCATTGAAACGATGTGCAAAAATAAATGAATTGATTATTCACTAAACAAACCAGTTTTTTATTCAATTAGTTGATATGTAGGATGATAGAGTAAGAGTTGATTCCTTTAGTACGAACTGGAATCAGCTTCATAATCCCCAGTAGTACACATTTATCTCACAGAAAATTGAATTCAGCTTTGGTGAAGCATATAATTCAATCCACCACGTCACAATCAAATAGTTCATACGTTTTCAACCTTGATAAGACCATAATGTAATCGTAATTTGCCAAAACCTATTATTCTACTTTTGAACGACCAGAACTCAAAACATTTCCTAATTGCCTTAAGAAGCTATCGAACATTTACTAGTACAGAATACTTACTTTATGTCATTTCATTTCCATTAACCTTCCCCAACAAGGTTATAAACAAAGACGGACAGTGACATTGAGTTTTGGTATATTTATGAAGTCAGTTAACATTATGTAAATGTGTATAATATGAACTTTCTAAAACATATATACATAAATAATACCATCGATATTTTTTGACATCGTGACAGAAACAACACCTAAGTACTTACTAGTATAACTAACCTTTAGATGAATTCAATGAATTCTAGTAAGTCATAATTAGTAGAGTTCAAATTGCGAGTCAAGAGTGAGATAATTACCCATATGGTGATTTTATTGATCAACAGTATGTTACGAATTGATTAGATTTTGACGATTGAATTTCAATTAGGTGTTCTAGATGTATTTTATTCGCTGTAAAGTCGAATAATTAGGTCTCATTAAAAGGTTACTTCTGGCTATAGAATAATACTGTGGAAAATATAATATCACAAAAATCAGTAACTAGACACCTTCAAACCCTTTCACAATGCCAAAGACGGTATAGTAGCACATCTGCATTAATTGGCTTGTTTAAACTAAAAGTCAAGTCAAACTTTAACATAATCTGACGGTTTTATTGTAGTTCAACAACATTTAAGACGCAACAGTGACCAACCACCAGAAAACTTATGTGCTCTTCAATACTTTCAAATAACGCCATAAACTTGGAAGTGCCACTACTGTTACCAAATAAACTGTACAGGAAATAAGGATCGAATGATTCAAATTATCTTTACAAGCGACTGAAAAGATAGATAAATGTTTGTGAACAAAAATCTGAAGTGGAGAAGTAAATGAAGCAAAACTCATCGATTTGTTTAACAATTTACAGACTACATGCACTCAGTTTTTTCTCCAAAGTTAAATAAAACATAAATTATATTTCTGGTTGCTGTTTTTCTTGGGCCATAGAGCGTATAACTTGGTCGTCATGATACTGATCTGTGAATTCTTTCTTGATATTTTCTATATTCGACTCAAGATTTGGACTAGTAAAAAAATCTGAAGATGTAGCTTAAGATGTAACTTACCAACAAAATGTTCTCTAGCATCTTCAGGCTGTTTTGTTAAAATATCTCTACAATACATCGTACAATAAAAGAATGCTTTTACCTCAGAAATGCAGTTATCATGTATTTTATTTCTGGATGTTTTCGTAAATAATGCTCATTATTTAACCGAGTTTGGGCCTGTTAAGAAATATAGGACTAATTGACTCTAACTTTGAGCTTATTTGTTGCTCCCTGTTGAGCATTACTGAGGGCTCCTAAATCTCCTTCTCTAGGAAGATCATATGGCTCCATCCCGGCTGGTGGGTCATGGTTAGGACGGTAAGATCCTGGATCGAACATGACCTTGAAGACCAAATAGGCCGGTGTTAAACTGCCTTACACACCATGACAATGAACAAACTTGGAATCGAACTCAGTTTCAGTTTCGGTTTTCGGAAGACAGTAGGTGGGATTAGTTATATTAGTCCTAGAGCTGCTGATCACTCATCTAGTCCAAATTTCTTTTGAAAGAGTCTACAGATGTAGCATTGCAAAGCAGCCGCGTTATGGTCACTTCACCGAGCGTTCAAATCTTTTGACGAGGAAACGTTCCGAATTTTATACCCCATATATGTAAGACCACACTAAGAGTACTGCATCCAAGCAGCTAGCCCGTGTCTGGTAATGGATATTAACTCCCTTGAGCGTGTACAGCCTGTGGGAACGAAATTAGTGAAGGGTCTTTCCTAACTACCTTACGATGAGCGTTTAAAACGCCTAAACCTTTTCCCCTTGTCGTGTCGTGGGACACGAGGTGACCTTATACTGGCATTTATTATCTTTAATTACGATTTGGGTCTTACCTTCCTGCTTCCTCCAGCACTAATAATCTCCGAGGTCATAGCAAGAAGGTTCATAAACCACGATCTAATAAACTTAAAGTGGGGTCCTGTTTTTCTCATCGAGTAGTCAATGATTGGAACGCCCTACCCGAACAAGTGGTATCAGCCCCATCAGTGAATATTTTCAAGGAGAAGCTGGGCCTTCACTGGAAAGTAATGTGTTAGGACTAATACAGGTTCACCAACCTACTATCCTTATTACTGAAGACTGAAGACTGAAGCTTCAACAATATCGTGAAGTGAGGATTTCCTCCTGTTGGTGATCTGATGTGAAAGTCAACAGTCAGATGCCAAGTAGTTTTTCCTGAACTCGTAAACCTTTTTAGATCATGCTCGTAAATTCCGTTTCATGAAAGACAATCGAAATGAGGGCATATCAGATTCGAATTCATTACTGAGTAGTTTTAAATCTGTTACCGATTCTTTCAAGTGACAGGGGAAGTAAATTTGGTTTAATCAGTTTGTCATAATACAGACGTTTTGCGATTCTGAGAACCACCTTAGCTGTGGTTCTCTGAACCCTTTCCAACAGCTCATTGTCTCTTTTTAGGCAGGGTCTAGGCGCTTGTATGGAATACTCCAGTTTAGGATGAATACTGTATTAGAACAACACATGTAAGCAAACAATTGTTTTCAGTTAGATTGTCATCAGGCCTTACTCTAATATACATGAATATTTACACGAAGATTTCAAACCAATCAAGGCAATTTGGGTCAATAATCACAATACTGTATGAAAAGTCAAAAAAGTTTCAGTATCGGCAGAGCTAGATTGTCTACGTACTAGCCATAGGGTTCTAGAACCTTTGAAAGCTATCTTACGGCCGTGTGGGGCAGTTTTTAAGTTTTGGTCAACGATGACTCCTAGGTCAATGCGTGTTTGGGTAACAGGTAGTTCACTGTTATTTACCGTGTATGTGTCTTTACCCTGGTAGTCAATATGCATCATAATACACTTGAAAGCATTTATCGGCAACTGCCAGCCCAGATTCAACGCTTCACTATATATCAATAGCCTTCCAAATATTTATTCTAGCCTCTTCATTTCTGACTTCTGACTTGACTGTGTTGGTATACTTCGATAATAAAGGTGTTACGTGTAAAGATGTTGTCAAACCCCGGTTACTTGTGAAATCTCTCATCTTATGTCAGTTAAAGAAAGTCAAATACAAGAATGAGTCAGGAGAAAATTTCCCAAATCTGAAAAACACGTTTCATACAACTAACTGGGGAGTGTTTACAGATGATTGACTGAAACATGTCGTAGATATTATCAATTATCATTTTAAATTCAGTTTTGATGCTTGTTGTCCAACTAAACCATTTTCGCATGTTTTAATTGACTTACATTTCCACTTCTGAAACGATTATGGAGGATGAAGGAAATAATGTACAAATAGGAAAATTCCATTGAAGTTCGAAGGATAAACCTGGAAATCAGACTCCTGAAATGAATGTGTACTCAGAAACACCAGTCTTACAAAAACTCTTCAAGTATGTGGGAACTATTTAAATGACATCAGAGCCGATAACCGGCCGAATGTTTGTGAATTAAATAAGTCTTTTATATCTCAGTCATCAAATGACATGCTTCCCATGTCCATATGTTTGAAGGATAGTTGTGTTCCGATTTCCATTGAAACTGATGTCCGAAAATGTTTCTAGTTAATTAACTCGTCCTAGTGTTTGGGATCTGATGAAATTTCAAACCTCTTTCTGAGAAGCATGTTGATATTCCGTGTTATCCGTTCGTGAGCATCATTAACCAACCAACTAATCTCATGACGGAAATATGGAAAAAGATATCTTGGAAATTATCTTGCGATGAAAATGCGAAATTCAGAACAGTGTCACTAACTTCACCTTTCCTCTAACGATGAAAAAATTAATGCTACTCCTACTCTAACCTGCAACATAAGTGCAGATGGATCTATATCACTTTGGTTACAAACGCAAACGAAGTACCTCAAATACTGCTGTTGTGCTGCACCATAATACAGTGTTCAGCTTGGAAAAGAGTGAAAATTTTATTCGATGCACTTTGCTGGATCACACTTTAATTCATAACTCCATTCCAAGACAACTTTGATCAGCACCAACACCGACGGCTGGGTGTGTTCTAACCGCTCTGAAGTAGAACAGCAAACTTCACTTGGAAAAAAGTGTATGAGATTTCTATTAATCCAAGATGGTGCGCTATAAGAGGCTTTTCTTTCCACTTTCGTTTCCTCATTTTCTCTACATGATCTGCCATCTTCTACAATATACAGATGATCTAACTGTATATATGCTGGTTTCTACCTCCTTACACGTTGTAGAAATCAGTGAGATATTGTTTCTCATTGAAAAATAGTTTATCGTTAATGGTGTCACATTGGTACATTCTAAATGTCAACATGTCAACTTTGGCCTAAAATATGAATAGCACTCAAACACTATGTTGGAATCCTACAAACTTTACACTATTGAGGTCTTGTGATAAAAATGGTGTCTAACATTGTTTACAGCAGTGTAATTTTTTCTCGGATCTCTTATGGTCTCATGTTTTACTGGTATCGAATAGAGTTTTCCGTCTGACATACTATGTAAAGAAGCCACATGTTTTCACCATTACTCGACATTTACTTTTATGATTTGTAAATTCTTGCATATTATCTATTTTTCTTTAATGTCCCTCGTCACTCTTTCTTGGATTTTTGAAGAAAGACTGCCGTATTTGAGAGAGTGATGAAGGCAGTTAGTAAAGTGTGTAACGAGTCTTTCGAGGTGATTATAAATATGGTTGAAAACATTACTGTTTTACTAAAAGACATTTCACTTAGTTCTAGATAGTTTGTTTACTTGGTTCATATGTATAAGTATGCGGCTATTATTTTCTTAATTCTTCGCTTTTGTTTATTTAAGAGAAACATAGCGAAATGTTTTTGCCTAGAATTCTATATTATGGTATTGAATAACGACATTGGTAATAATTATAAACGATCAGCTTCTTGCAAATAATCTTTTCTAGAACTTTACTAGCCACGTGAGCTAGGCTTATGAGTCGATAGATCTACGGTCTAAGTTTGGTGCCTGTTTTGAGGGCAAGATTTACTGTGACGCTCTTCCTACCTTGAATTACAGAGGTTAAAATATGTGCTTAAATGGCTTGCAATGAAATTTGTTATTTGTCTTAGCGACCTATATAATGCATTTTGTTTGGTCCTATAGATTAACATATATAAAGCTTGTGCAACAGACGAATGACACCAACTTTTTTATGAGGAGAAAGGTTGATTCAGCGAAGAGTTTTCCTTTCAGCGAATTCATCTTCAAACTTCTACCCGCAACTGATTTATTTCTGTTTCTGTGATCTTACTCGTTACATTTAATCTCAATATAAACATTTTACCTCATCAGACTGAGCCATCATTTCTCAATAATGATTTCCCGATCTATATTTTGATAAATATTTAAGCCACTGACAATCAAACGATTATTAGTTTCTCTGTTTAAAAAATAGTTTAATACCTTTGTTTATTATACCTCACTGTCACCATGTGTAACAGAATATTGCTATCATTATTATTGTAATTGTTATCATCATCCTGAAAAGATAGGTATACATACTCGCGACTATATGTAGTGACCTACTTTTGTCAAGAGAAGGCGATTGGTTTAATGGAAACAATTATTACTATAACCAATTGAACCAGTGATTGTTTTGCTGTGCTGGTTTGTTTAACTGTAGTAAAGACACCCATTACTCCCCCATTATTCTTCCGTTGACTGTGACTTTGTACGCTCTCACGTTCTCCCATTGATTCCCCTTGTATTTGCTTTGGCACGATCTCGGGATTCTTTCGATACCACGAGATCGCCAACGAATACATCTCGACTACAACCATCAACTGCCTTCTGATATTTGGCTTACGGGGGATCTTATCGGTTAACTGGCACATAGTCTTCCTGTAGTGGTGATCATAGTCAACCGCGACTCGACGCCACACTACATATAAAGCTTTGAAAATGAATCTGCCGAAAAGAGAACTCTTCGATGAACCAGTCGTTTTTATTTTTTATAATGGTTACGTGTGCTGATTAGAAGTACTTGGACTATTATACGGAATAAGAGTCCCAGAAGTAGCGTAGTCTAAGGAGACAGAAAGAGGTAAGCACAAATGAATGAATTGTATGTGGAGTTCAAAATCAGGCAGATACCAAGTACGAAGGAATCATTGGTTCACACAAACACCACATCACAGTGTCCATAATATGGACGAAACGAATCTATGTAAATCGAAGTAAAAAGCATCACTAGAGTTTAAACCTTACTGAGGTAATTTGGGAGTACTCACTTATTCACGACTGTTACTCCTGATTGAGGAGCATAGGCTGCTTATCCGGATTCAACACCTGTAGCGTGGGGTTGAGTTGAGGTTAACTATGAACACCGCTACCAAGAAACACGTGCCAAATAAATCAGAAGGCGAAGGTTGAACGTAACCAAAGAAACCCATAAAATCCCCAAAAAGCCAAATATCAGAAGACAATTAATGGACCAAGT